CGGGGAGACCCCTGGAGCCCCCCCAGAATGGTGGAGGGAGAGGTGACCACCCTCCTGCAGCTGTCCCAGAGCTGGATGCCTCCCCTGTACCCCCCAGACTGGATGTACCCCCCTCCAGGGCTGGTACCCCCCAGTAACCCACTCCAAGGGCTGAGTAAACCCCCTGCACCCCTCTCCTGGGCTGGCTGTGCCCACCATGTCCCCCTGCATTGGCTGTCTGTCCCCACCATGTCCCCCTGCATTGGCTGTCTGTCCCCACCATGTCCCCCTACATTGGCTGTCTGTCCCCCCAGCCTGGCTGTGCCCCAAGGCCCCCCCAGCCCCTGACTCACCATAGATGAAGATGGGCATGAAGTACCCAGCTGGCAGGGGCAGGGTGGTGGCCAAGATCAGCATCCAGAACTGGGGGACACAGCGGGGTCACCTCATGGGGACACCGTGTGGGGGGCACAGCTGGAGACTGGGGGGCCATGGTTACCTTCATGAGCAGGAAGAAGGTCAGGGTGCCGTAGATGGTGGCAGAGGGATGGTCCCACTCCTGCCAGAGCCCCCCAGGCTTGGCCACCCCCGAGGCGTTGGCAGCCAGCACGCCCCACGTGCGGTTGTCAAAGAGGGAGATGAGATGTTCCTTCATGGTGAGCTGGATGGATGGACAGACGGACAAATGGACACCCTGAGCCCTTGCTGGGAGGTTTTGGGGTCCCCAGGGAGCCCCAAGTGCCCCCACTCACCCTGGAGGCCATGAACTGGCCCAGCCCGGGCGGGAAGGTGATGGAGGCGAGGAGCAGCACGGCCAGCACCGTGTACACGGGTTTGCTGCAGGGGGACACCGGGGCTGGGTGCGTGGGGACGGACAGACGGACACCCGGGGTGGATGGGGGGATATCAGGGCACCCAGGGTCGGTGTGGGGGACAGATGGATGCACAGGGTGGACACATGGCCACCCAGGGTGGATGGGAGGCATATAGGGACACTCGGGGTGCATGGGGAGGGACACAGGGACAACCAGGGTGCATGGGGGGCATATAGGGACACTTGGGGTGCAGGGAGGGGACACAGGGACACTCAGGGTGATGGGGAGGACACAGAAACACCCAGGGTGTGCAGCAGGGGGACACAGGGATACTCAGGGTGCATGGGGAGGACACAGGGATACTCAGGGTGCATGGGGTGGATGCAGAGGGTGTATGGAGGATGCATGGATGGCCAGGGTGCACAGGGTGGACATATGGACACTCAGAGTGGGTGGGCAGGGGGGACACAGGGACACCCAGGGTGGATGGGAGGGACACAGGGACACCCAGGGTGGATGGGAAGGACACAGGGACACCCAGGGTGGATGGGAAGGACACAGGGACACGCAGCCCCTGCACAGCACGGACACACAGACACAGTGGGTGCAGGGTGCAGGCAGACAGACAGATGGACGGACGCCCAGTACAGACTCAGTGGCCAAGAGCTTGGCTGTCAGCCGGTTCCTCTTGACGGCCACCATCATCCAGCGCTGGCAGAAGAGATAAGCACAGGCCACGATCCCACAGATGATCCTGTGAGGAGAGGGCGGGTAGGGCACAGGCAGAGCACAGACAGCACCCCAAAACTGGGCCCTCCGTACCCCAAAATCAGGAAAAAGAAGGTCTCCAGGAGGTCGAAGGGAAAATCAATCTTGAGGTCACTCTTAAAAACAGCGGCGATGGTTTCTGGGAGGGGAGACAGGAATGAGGGTGTGGGTTTGGGGGTGAGCACCCCAAAAATGTCCCGGGGGAGGGTCAAGGGGAAGGGGGGGCACATCCAGCCCAGCCTGCCTTGCCTTGCTCGCTGTTGAACACGGCCAGGAGCCGAAACATGAAGGCGCCACAGGTGGCAGCAAAGAAGCCGCGCCAGTAATCCCGCACGGCGAAGTGGGGGGACATCACCTCGATGCTGAAAAGCACCCCTGGAAAAACGGGGAAAGGGATCAGGGCGAGGTTTAGGGGGGCCCAGGGTGGGATTAGGGGGGTCCTCACCGCTGATGGGTGCCCCGAAGACTGTGGCCACCCCGACGGCTTGAGCTGCCACCAGCATCTCGTGCTGCTTGAACTTGTTCTGTAAGGTGGGGGGGGAGGTTAGGTACAACCCCAGCTTTTTGGGGGTAAAATCAAATCTCTCCGTTCATTTTTTGGGTTTGCCCCACCTCATATTCCCTCGTGACCGTGGTCCTCATCTTCCCCAGATAAGCTGCGGCCATGGCGGAGAGGTGGACATAGGGACCCTGGGGGGACACAGTGCTGAGCGCCCCCCACCCCGGCACCGGCTGAAACCGCTGGGGATTTTGGGGTTCAGAAGGGGATCCCTCACCACTTTGCCAAGGAAAACGGTGCTGCCGCACGTCAGGGTGCAGGTCAGCCCCACCACCTTGGCCCCGAAGTTCTGGATGGCCAGGTAGTCCTCCAGCACCACGCCCATCAGGATGGTCTTCAGCTCCGGGATGCCGGAGCCTGGCGGTGGGGAGGGGGGCAGGATCCAAATTTTAGGGGTCCCCCATGACCAAGGGGGCCCTTTAGGGAGTCAGGGAGGTCGGGGTGCAGCCGGCTCACCTCCGGAGTGCGGGGTGATGCTCTGGGCGAAGCCGCTGGAGAAGGCGGCCATGGCCGTGGGGAACAGGGTCCACGAGAGGAACTTGAGCACCGCGATGTCCCCGATCTCCCGGTACAGCCACGTGTGGGCTGGAGGAGAGGTGTCGGGAGGGGAGCTGCACCCCCTAAAGAGCCCCCTGTACACTCGGTGAGCCCCCAAACGCCCCCAGGGCGCCCCTCGTTACCGGCGTAGAGCCTGGCGACGATGATGTCCATGGCGAAGCTGATGGTGGCCATGAGCACCCCCAGGATGAAGAGGAAGTACCAATCCTCCCCGACGCGGAACAGCTGCCGCTTCACCCACTCCAAGCACCCTGCGAGCGGGGAAACGGGGTGCTGATCCCCCAAAAACCCCCGCCCCCATAAAATCCCCCTTTTTGGGTGGGGGTCTCACCTCGGACCCTCCTCCGGGCGGTGGGGCAGGGTCTCCAGCTGTGCTCCGACACCAGCACCCTCTCCACCTCCTCCTCCTCCTTCTCCCCCCGCAGCCCCCTGGGGACAGGGCGCTCCATCCCGGGGACGCTTCAGGTGGACGGCACCCCGTTTTTTGTAGCACCCCTGACCCGTTCCTCCCGCCTCGGCCTCCGCTGCCCGACTGAGTTTGCAAACGAGCTCATTAAAAACGACCTTGACGAATCCGACGGACCCGCTCGGGCCGGAGCGAGCCGGGTTTCCTCCCCCCTCCGCCACCCTCCGGCTCCCAGTCCCAACGTACATCCCGCGGCGGGGAGGATTTAATAAGTATTTTAATTCATTATCGTGATTATTCCTTAATAATAGGCATCGCATTCCATGGCGTTGAGCTGGGGGGGTTGAACGGAGAGGGGAAAAATTTCCACCGTCTCCGGCGCAAGACCTAAATTTAGCCGGTTTTACGAGAGGTCTGGCAGGCGGCCGGGAGCCTTAACGAGGCTTTAAAAAGCTCGTCAAGTCGAAATATCCCGAAATAACCGATCCGGCGTCGCCTTCGCCGGCAGGAGAGCGAGGAAGGGGGTTCCGCTCATCCCCCCGGCGGGAGCTGGGGGTCGCAGGTGGGCGCAAGCGGAGGCTGAAGGTGAAACCCTCGCCCGCCGGCTCCATGGAGCTTTTCGGGAGCTTTGTCCGGCCCCACGGGGAGAGCCTGGGGTTCCCAGGTGAGTTTGGGGCGCACCCGGGAGGCATTTGGGGTTTGGATCCTGGGCAAGCCGTGGCTGTGACCCCCCCAAACCGTGCCCTGCAGCTCGCCCCGGTAACACGGGCGTGGTGAAGACCCTGGGGAACACCTATCAGTTCACGGTGGACGTCAGCGACTTCGCGCCCGAGGACATCATTGTCACCACCTCCAACAACCAGATCGAGGTGCACGCCGAGAAGGTGGGTGCTCCCTCCCTTCTCTGCTCACCCCCAAAATCCTCACTGCGGGTGTGGGGACTGCTCAGCTCCCACCCAATTCCCAAACAGCTCCAGCCACAACCCCAGCAGTATTTAATTCACCATTAATTAATGATGGGGAATAATGAGTCCCTATTCTGCTCGCACCCCAAAATCGCCTCTTTTCACCCATTTTTTTCCCCCAGTTGGCCACAGATGGCACCGTCATGAACACCTTCACCCACAAGTGCCAGCTGCCCGAAGACGTGGACCCCACATCCGTGTCCTCCTCACTGGGGGACAATGGGATGTTGACCATCCGGGCTCAGCGCCGGCCGGCCAAGCACTCCGAGCACGTCCAGCAAACCTTCCGGACTGAGATCAAGATCTGAGGGGTCGGGGGGCTGCTTTCCCCCCCTCTCCTTTCCCTCCCTCGCTAATTAAATGGGTGATTTGGGAAGGAGGTGGGATGTGGGGTAGGGAATGGGAAGGCTCCCTCCAGAGTGGGTCAGACCTGTGCTGAACGCATCCCGTCACCCAGCGGAGAAATTCCGGAGGGGAGTCCCAGCTCCGGCAATTTTTAGCTGGCGCGTGTTGAGGGGGGAGATCCAGCGTGCCAAGAGTCCTGCCGGGAGCCAGGTTCCCTTCCCAACCCTCTGCCAGAGCTTGTCTTTGTATATAGAGCTTGGGATAAATTATTGAGAACGTCNAGGGACAGGGATGTGCTGGGAACGGAAACCACTTCCGTGGCCTTGGTGGCCCGAGGGATGGGATAAAATTAGATGTTCCTTGGCTGGAGAGGCTGGGATGAGCTGTATCTGTCCCTTGAGATGAGCTGTATCCATCCATTCCTTGGGATGAGCCATGTCAGTCTGTCCATCCCTCGGGAGGAGACATGTCCATCCATCCATCCATCCATCCATCCCCTCGGATGAGCCTTGTCCGTCCATCACCTGGGATAAGCCATGCCTCCATTCCCTTCATCCCCTGGGATAAGCCACGTCCATCCATCCATCCCTCCATCCATCCCTCCATCCATCCATCCCTCCATCCCTCCCCTGGGATGAGCTGTGTCCATCCATCCATCCATCCCCCAGGAGAAGCCATGTCCATCCATCCATCCATCCCTTGGGATGAGCCGTGTCCATCCATGCCTTGGCTACATCCATCCATCCCCCAGAATAAGCCATGTCCATCCATCCCTTGGGGTTAGCTATGTCTATCCATCCATCCATCCATCCATCCATCCATCCATCCATCCATCCATCCATCCATCCCTTGGGATGAGCCATGTCCATCCATCCCTTGGGGTTGGCTGTATCTGTCCATCCATCCATCCATCCCTCGGGATGAGCCATGTCCACCCCCTCATCCATCCATCCCTTGGGATGAGCCGTGTCCATCCATCCCTTGGGATGAGCCATGTCCATCCATCCATCCCTTGAGATGAGCTGTGTCCATCCATCCATCCATCCATCCATCCATCCATCCATCCATCCCTCCATCCCTTGGGATGAGCTGTATCCATCCATCCATCCATCCATCCATCCATCCCTCAGGATGAGCCATGTCCATCCATCCATCCCTTGGGATGAGCTGTGTCCATCCATCCATCCATCCATCCATCCATCCATCCATCCATCCCTTGGGATGAGCCATGTCCCCTCCCCATCCATGCCCCCCACGAGGACATGGGTGCTGCTCCCAGCTCCCCCCAATCCTGGGCTGTGGCCGTGGTGTCTCCAGCCCCTCCAGCCCCATTCCCCCGTTCCTGACCCCGTTCCTGACCCCGTTCCTGACCCCGTTCCTGACCCCGTTTTCTCCTGTTCCCCTTCCCAGGGACATCAAGCGGATCGGGGTGCGGCTGCCGGGCCACCAGAAGCGCATTGCCTACAGCCTGCTGGGGCTGCAGGAGCAGGCAGGGGCTGGGGGGTCCCCAGGCTGACCCCCCACCCCCAGAACTCCACAT